TGCACGGGCCGCAGCTGAGAGGGAAACGACCCAACATGAGCCGGCTGGTCGGGAAATGGAGGCTGCGTATGACAGGGGGGCTGCTGAGGGGGCTCCTGCTGTGGGGGCGAAGGGAGCAGCCCAGCGCCAGCCCGCTCGAGTATCCCCTCCAGCGTTGCGGCAGTCCGCGCCAGCCGCCTCTCCAGAGCGCACCCCCTCCGCCCCCGACGGGGGCCAGCTCGCCCCAAGGGGCCGTTTGGCGCACGCTGCTGTTGCGGAAGGGGCCGAGACGGCAGCACAGGGGGGGGGTGAGAGCCCGCCGCACGTGACGCAGCAAGCGGCGACAACGCAGCAGGAGGACACTGGCGGACCTCGGCGCCCGCCACCACAGCCCGCCCCTCCAGCCGAGGCGGCGTCGCTGCCCGCATCCGACCAGGGGACGCTGGCGCGCTCGCCGACGGCGCCAGGAGCCCGCGTGCCCACCGCCGGTCCGACTGAGGGGGGGAGCTCGACCGACCTCGGGGGAGGACGTTTTCCCCCGAACTCTCACGGTCAACAGAGTGCTCCCTACGAGCGCGGCCGGCACGGAAGGCCATTCGACTCGCCGATGACCCCCAGAACCGGCACGGCAAGGCAGCGGGGCGAACGCCCGCCCACTCCACGCTCAGCTGCACGGGGCAGCGGCTCGCGGAGAGGACGCGGCGGCAGGGGGCGCGGACGCTCGCCCAGCCTGATGGCTAACGGCGGACCACGGAACGGCTTCCACAGGGCTGTGGGGAGGGCTTTAAGAGAAGAGACAACCGAAAGCACGAATGCTGCTGAGGAGCGTGCGGATGCCACTTATAGGCAGGAGGCAAGGGAAGAGACTAGCACGGAGGACTCCGCTGAGGATGACGGGGGCGACGGACCTGATCGAAGGCAAAGGCAGGCGGCGCGGAATCAAAGGGAACAGCGGGCACCGCGTATGCGAAATTATCGGGACAACGAGGTACAACCCAACCTCCCTCCCCGCCAATTTTCGCCAGAAGACCTGGCGAATAATGAACCACTTTTCACGGGGATCGCAAATTGGGACATCGGACGGCTCTGCGACAGTCGCCAGCCCCCACTTTCCCGTCGAATCCCCCCCAAACTACGCCAGCTTTTCGCCCTGGCGCTTCTGACACCTCTGCTCCACATCGCAAAAAACCCTTCTAGCCTCGCGGGCTGGCGCCTGTTACTCTTCACACCCCGACTCACCCTTCGCCTCAATTCGCCGCGCCACCCAGATTGGCCAGCGATAGAGCGGAGGCTGCAGCAGTTCCTGGCCGGCGAATGGGAAGCGCTGTACCTGGCAGCAGCTGACGCGATACACAACCCACCTGTACCACGACACTCAGGAGACACCCTTGGCAAAATATCCCGCGCCGAGGGCCTCGTCCGTCGTGGCAGCCTCAGGCGTGCCCTCTTGGCACTGGACTCGACCCCGGTCAGCGAGTCAACGCCGGAGGTCTTCGCCGCGCTGGCTTCCAAACACCCCCCCCCTCTGACCGAGTCCCTCGACTGGCCTGCCCTCGACGAGTCTGAGCGACTCCCCTCCATCTCGCTAGCCGATTTCGTTCGGTTACTTAGCCGCAGCGAAAACGGAGTTGGCGCAGGACCGTCGGGCATGTGCTTCGAACACCTTCGCGACGCAGCCCTCGCGAACGCCTCAGTCGCCAGCAAACTGCACGGGGTAGCACAAATCCTCCTAAAAGGATCCACCACCCCAGAGGTAGCCGGGCTCCTCACAGCTAGCCGCCTACTAGCGTTCCCGAAGCCAGAGGGGGGCACCCGCCCAATAGCTGTGGGCGAATGCCTCCACCGCCTAGTGGCGAAAGCGGGCCTCGCCGCCATGAACGAACCCGCCCAAAGCCACTTCCTCCCACTGCAGTTCGGGGTGGCGGTAAGGGCCGGCGGCGAGGCGATAATCCATGGCGCGAGAGCTTTTGCCACGGAATCCCCGTCGGCCCTCCGGCTCCAACTTGACCTCTCTAACGCTTTCAACAGCGTCGACCGCGGGGCCATCATCACAGGGCTCTACAACTCCCCGCTCCGCCCCCTCCTCCCCTTCGTACAACTCTCCTACGGCGCCCCCTCCACTCTTTTCTTGGACGCGGGCTTTGACAGCCAGCCCCTCCTCAGTGCCCGCGGCGTCAGGCAAGGGGACCCCATGGGACCTCTGCTCTTTGCCGCCGCCATGCATCCCGCCCTGCGAGAGACCGCCCAAGCGTTTCCCCGCGTCCTATGCCTGGCATACGCCGACGACATCACCTTGATGGGGGAGCCGGCCGCATGCACAGCCGCATTCGCCCACCTCACCCACGCGCTTCTTCCTCTCGGCCTGACCCACAACCCGGCTAAATGCGCAGCATGGTCCGCGGCCCATCCCCCCCCCGACTCCCTCCCCCCCGGGATCCCCTTCTGCGCCTCCGGGTTGCGGATCCTGGGCAGCCATATCGGTCCCCCAGATGCAGCAGCCAGCTTCCTGCGTGAGCAACTGGCCGCAATGGCCAAGCCACTGCCAACCCTGGCAGCCATGGACCCCCAGGCCGCCAGCCTCCTCCTCCACCGCTGCGTCTCCCGTCGGGTCTCCTACCTGACCCGCACGACGCCGCTGAACCTGCTCCCAGCACAGGAGTGGTCCCAGTGGGGGCAGCAACTCTACCTCACCCTCCTGAGGGCCTGCCAGCTCCAGCTCCCACGGGGGGAACAGGAGATGTCGCGCACTTGGCAACAGGCCTCGCTCCCCCCCTCCCTCGGAGGGCTCGGCTTGACGGACCCCACAGTGGAGGGACCCTATGCCCTCCTCACCAGCGTCACCCACGCCCAACGGCTCCTGGCCTCCCTCGCCCCAGACCCATCCGCCCCCCTCGGGACAGTGGCCCGCTCCCTCGCACCACCCTACACCAGCCCCACCCCCCTTCACACCTGGCTAGCTGAGTGCGAGGCGGCGCTGCCGGCCACCGCCCGGGAACTCCTGCGCGCCGAGCCCTCGGAACCATCCGAAGCTCCGCTCCAGCACCGCCTCGCCCTAGAGGTCCACGCTGCCCGGTTCGCTGAGCAGCTAGAATCGACCAGGCACATGGAGCTAAACCCCCTCAGCGGTCACACGCAGCGGCTCCTCTCCCTCACAGGGTACGGAGCAGGGGACTGGCTCCTCGCAGTCCCCCTCTTCCCATCACTCAGGCTGGCACCTCCTCACCTCGCCATAGCCCTCGCCTTCCGCCTGGGCCTCCCTTTCCCCGCGCCAAAAGTGTGCAATTGCGCCATGAAGACCGAGATCCCGGACCCACGGCTCCCCAACCACTTATTCTGCTGCGGGACGGGGCACGGACGCACTGATACACACAACGCCCTCCGGGACGAATGCATTCGCATGGGCCAAGACGCACAACTCATTGTCTCGAAAGAAACAGCCCTATACAACCCGGTCGACGGCAAGACAGCCGACCTAGCCATCCGGGACCGGGACTCAGGGGCGGTCTGGATCTGCGACGTCACAGTCACGGACCCAGTCAGCTCCAGGGACCCCCTCGCCCGCAAGGGACGCGGTTACATGGCCAGGGAGCAGGCGGACAAGAAGATCGACATGTACCGCCACAGGGCAGAGTACGTCGGCTTCTTCCCGCTTGCTGTCGAGACATACGGCTGCCCTTGCACGGAAGTGCCGGCCTTCCTCAAACTTTTAGCCCACACGGCTGCCCGGCGCCTCTTCAACGCCGACCCCAGCTCCTACCAGGCGGCGAAACTACTCAACCAGTTTCGCCAACGCTGGTCAGTCACCCTCCAACGGGGACAGGCACTCACCTACCTGGGGAAGGTGAACGAAGCGTCACCGCTGGAATGGCCCCCCTTGGGGGGACCCGATGCGGGCATGTCCCTCGGGGACTGCTTCGCCGTGCTAGAGCATTAGGGGAGGGAGGGGGGGGTGGTAGGACCGGGTACTAAACCTCCCCACCGGTAGTATTTAGCTGTGCCCGCTCCTCTTGCCTAGCATGTACCCAGGATTCCCCAGCAACAAAGGACCATTCGAGAGAGAGAGAGAGAGAGAGAGAGAGAGAGAGAGAGAGAGAGAGAGAGAGAGAGAGAGAGAGAGGAGCCTCTGTCCCTTAATATTTAGAGCCCTCCATCTCATTGCTCTGTTTTCGTTTGGTTTCTTCTTTTCTCCTTCCCTTGGAGAAGCAAGAGAATGACCCTCAACGCTCGCAGCGTGGGCAAGAGAGCAGCCTCGTGAGCAGCCCCGCCCAGGGAGGCCGGTCATCACCCACTCACGCGATTTGGTCCGCTCCCGCTTCCTCTAGCAGGATCATCACATAGCCCAACAGGAGCAGCAGCGCTAACACGGCGCCGCCTACGATGTCTACAGCTGCAGCATGGTATGGATCACCAGTTGCAAGGGCAGAGGGAGAGTGAGTAGCATGTGAAGTGGGCTTGTTTGACTCGGCTGCTGCTGCTGCTGCTGCTGCTGCTGCTGCTACTGCTCCTTCTCCGGCACCGGCACTACTTCTCACCCTTGCCCCTGCTTCCCCCTCTGCCACTACTACAGGTCTCGATGTAGTAGACATGGGCAGAGGGATGGGCCGGGGACGACTGGGCCAGCCCCTCCCGTCAGTAAACGGGGCCTCTCGTGGTGCCCAGCCCGGTCCCTCAGGGGCTGGCCCGTGGCCCGTGCACTTGCCCAACGATGCCTTGCGCAAAACAAGCCTCGCGGATCTGAACGTTTCGGTGCGTGTTTTACGCGATCTGCGCGGTCCGGCGAGCGAAACGCCAGATATATGGTAAGGCAGCAGGGACAGCAAAAACACACAACCGACTCAAGAAGTGGTGCGACGAGCATGGTGGGAAACATTGCTTGGCTGCCACAAGGACTTAGGAGCAGAGCTCATCCAAGCGTGTTTGGAACTAGGATGAGAAGATCTCAAGAGATGCAACGAGAAGAGAGTTGATGCTATGAACAATCGCAATGCACTCCTGACACATGATTCCAGTAGACTTCGTACAGAATGGAGAGCTGATTGAGTGAGGTGATGCTGTTGGGAAGGGAGCCAGTCAACAAGTTGTTTGAGAAACTCCTGTGTGGCATGCCGCGTGGGTTGGAAAAACTCAGGTGAGAACAGTTGGCATGGCAGGAAGGGGCTAACACACACGAGCAATCCAACGGGCTGGCGAGACGAGCATGGTGGGAAGCATTGCTTGGCGGTCAGAGGAGAACGTTATGCGGCGGACTTGGAGCAAATGGAAGCAGCACCAGCCGATGGCAGGAGGGGGAGAAAGGCGGGGCTAAGAGGGGATGAAGAGGGCAGGAGGGAGAACAGGGGAGAGGATGGTGGCTGGGAAGATGCTGGGGTGGAGGGAGGGAGGGAGAATAGGGATGGGCATGGTGCCTGGGAGGTGGGGTGGACAAGGGAAAGGCAGGGAGGGGGATGTGGATGGGTGCACCGTGCAAGGCGAATGCGCGCGGGCGATAGAATAAGTCAAGAAGGCCAACACCCCTGTTGGCAATAGCATATTCCTTCTATTTTACAACAGTGCACTACAACAGCTGCTGCCTTATTCACACGAATTACACTATGTCTTTGTTTCTGAGACAGACATGGGCACATGACGAGCCGGCTCGAGCTCTGGCTCAAGCTGGGGTCGAGCCGGGGCTTCGTAGAGCTGAGCCGGCTTGTGCCACCTCGAGCCGGTCACACAGTTTGCCCGGCTCGGCTCCGCTTTACAGGCATCGGCATAAAAGGCACTTCGCCCATCAGAATCGGCGGGTGGGCATTTCGCCCATTAGATCCGTTCAGGCGGGCATGGCGCCAGCCAGATCTGCACGAGCTGCGTGCGGCTCGTCAACAAGCCGCTGGCTCAACCCCGGCTTGTCGGGAGAGGGCATGTCAAGCCGAGCTGTGGCTCGACTGGCTCAAGCTGGCTTGGCTCGTTTCGAGCCGGTCACAACGAGCCGAGCCGAGCTGAGCCGAGCCGGCTCTTCCTTATGCCCATGTCTCTCTGAGGTTTCTTATCCCAGCTGGGATGGGCCCGTTAAGCTGATTAAAAAACAATAAACTGGTCACGCCAGGGTGAAACGTGGGTATAAAATATTGATCTGTTGATCTCCAAGAAAGAGAGTTGTCCGCTTGTAAGCTTCAATGCTGTGAGGTAGACGAAGTACAATGGACTGGTTGGTTGCCAAGGACATCCTTAGTGGCAATATTAGATAGAAGGGCTGGTTGGTTGGGAGGTGTTAGGTGCCATTCAACTGCTCAGAGCTCATCCAACCATGATTGGAGCTAGGATGAGGACAGCACAAGCATCTATGCGACATATTCAGGGATACAAGTATTCCAACAGGAGAAAGGGGATGGAGATGATGACTGAGCGGATGCTAGGGTGGGTGGACAAGGGAAAGGCGAGAGGGGCACTAGGATTGGTGCACTTAGGGAAGTCGAATTGGAGGTAGGAGATGAAAAAGGTGCCTCGTGGCTCCACACAGCAACGCCACAAACATTGCAAACCCCCAAACGAAACCAGCTAGCATCGTTTTCTACAACAGGGCACCGTTCAAACAAATTTTGATCTTCAGCTGCTTCCTACTTCACACGACTTACAGTGCCTTCAAGTTCGTGAGGTTTCCAATCCCAACTGGAATGGGCCCGGAAAGCTGATTCCTAGACAGAACTCTGATCACAAAAGGGTGACACGTTGGCAAGAATACTGCTCTGTTGATATCCTTGAGAGATGTGCACTTATATGTTACAGTCAATGCAGTGAGATACGGGAAGTGCAACTGACTAGATGGAAGTGGCAAATCTAGAAAGAAGGGTGGGAGATGCAAGCATGCGGAACACATGGCTGCCACAAGGAGTTAGGCGCCATTCAACTGAGCAGAGCTCATCCAAGAGTGTTTGGAACTGGGATGAGAAGAGCTCAAGGGATGCAACGAGAAGAGAGTTGATGCTATGGGCAATCGCAATGCACTCCTGACACATGATTCCAGTAGACTTCGTACAGAATGGTGAGCTGATTGAGTGAGGTGAAGCTGTTGGGAAGGGAGTCAGTCAACGAGTTGTTTGAGAAACTCCTGTGTGGCGTGCCGCGTGGGTTGGAAAAAGTCAGGTGAGAACAGTTGGCATGGCAGGAAGGGTAGACATGAACAAAATGCGATTGCAATTTAAATCGCATCGCACAGGGGTGCAATGTAAAAAAAATACGATGCGATTTAAAATTGCATCGTGCGATTTAATTTCGTGAAAAAACAAATCGCACATCGCATTTTGGGCGCGATGTTAATTTAAACCGCATGCGATGTTTATTTAAATCGCGCAATGCGATTTAAAATCGCATCGCATTTTACTTAAATTAAAAAACACCTCAGAAAACAGGATTAAAAAAACCAACACCGATGGGAATTTGGATCAAGGGCAGTCGTGGGCGGTATTTTAGATAAATAATTCGGTTCAGTATTGGGTTTACGACAGGTACAAGCCTCGTGGTATTTCGAAATCGCGCGCGATAAAAAAAATCACAAATCGCATTTTTATCGCGATTAAAGCGCGATTTAAATTAAATCGTGCGATGAATAATAATAAAAATAAAACATCGCAATCGTAAAAACGTGATTAAATGCGATTTAAATCGCGCGATGCGATTTAATCTGCCCATGTCTAAGGAAGGGGCTAGCACACACGAGCAATCCAACGGGCTGGAGAGACGAGCATGGTGGGAAGCATTGCTTGGCGGTCAGAGGAGAACGTTATGCGGCGGACTTGGAGCAAATGGAAGCAGCACCAGCCGATGGCAGGAGGGGGAGAAAGGCGGGGCTAAGAGGGGATGAAGAGGGCAGGAGGGAGAACAGGGGAGAGGATGGTGGCTGGGAAGATGCTGGGGTGGAGGGAGGGAGGTAGAATAGGGATGGGCATGGTGCCTGGGAGGTGGGGTGGACAAGGGAAAGGCAGGGAGGGGGATGTGGATGGGTGCACCGTGCAAGGCGAATGCGCGCGGGCGATAGAATAAGTCAAGAAGGCCAACACCCCTGTTGGCAATAGCATATTCCTTCTATTTTACAACAGTGCACTACAACAGCTGCTGCCTTATTCACACGAATTACACTATGTCTTTGTTTCTGAGACAGACATGGGCACATGACGAGCCGGCTCGAGCTCTGGCTCAAGCTGGGGTCGAGCCAGGGCTTCGTAGAGCTGAGCCGGCTTGTGCCACCTCGAGCCGGTCACACAGTTTGCCCGGCTCGGCTCCGCTTTACAGGCATGGGCTAAAAGGCACTTCGCCCATCAGAATCGGCGGGTGGGCATTTCGCCCATTAGATCCGTTCAGGCGGGCATGGCGCCAGCCAGATCTGCACGAGCTGCGTGCGGCTCGTCAACAAGCCGCTGGCTCAACCCCGGCTTGTCGGGAGAGGGCATGTCAAGCCGAGCTGTGGCTCGACTGGCTCAAGCTGGCTTGGCTCGTTTCGAGCCGGTCACAACGAGCCGAGCCGAGCTGAGCCGAGCCGGCTCTTCCTTATGCCCATGTCTCTCTGAGGTTTCTTATCCCAGCTGGGATGGGCCCGTTAAGCTGATTAAAAAACAATAAACTGGTCACGCCAGGGTGAAACGTGGGTATAAAATATTGATCTGTTGATCTCCAAGAAAGAGAGTTGTCCGCTTGTAAGCTTCAATGCTGTGAGGTAGACGAAGTACAATGGACTGGTTGGTTGCCAAGGACATCCTAAGTGGCAATATTAGATAGAAGGGCTGGTTGGTTGGGAGGTGTTAGGTGCCATTCAACTGCTCAGAGCTCATCCAACCATGATTGGAGCTAGGATGAGGACAGCACAAGCATCTATGCGACATATTCAGGGATACAAGTATTCCAACAGGAGAAAGGGGATGGAGATGATGACTGAGCGGATGCTAGGGTGGACAAGGGAAAGGCGAGAGGGGCACTAGGATTGGTGCACTTAGGGAAGTCGAATTGGTGGTAGGAGATGAAAAGGGTGCCTCGTGGCTCCACACAGCAACGCCACAAACATTGCAAACCCCCAAACGAAACCAGCTAGCATCGTTTTCTACAACAGTGCACTGTTCAAACAAATTTTGATCTTCAGCTGCTTCCTACTTCACACGACTTACAGTGCCTTCAAGTTTGTGAGGTTTCCAATTCCAGCTGGGATGGGCCCCGAAAGCTGATTCGCAGACAGATCTCTGATCACAAGAGGGTGACACGTTGGCATGAATACTGCTCTGTTGATATCCTTGAGAGATGTGTGCCCGTATGTTACAGTCAATGCAGTGAGATACGGGAAGTGCAGCTGACTGGATGGAAATCCGAAGTGGCAAATCTAGAAAGAAGGGTGGGAGGTGCAAGCATGCAGAGCACATGGCTGCCACAAGGAGTTAGGCACCATTCAACTGCGCAGAGCTCATCCAAGCGTGTTTGGAACTAGGACGAGAAGAGCACAAGAGATGCAGCGAGAAGAGAGTTAATGCTATGGGCAATCGCAATGCACTCCTGACACACACATGCTTCCAGTGGACTTCGTACAGAAGGAAGAGCTGATTGAGTGAGGTGATACTGTTGGGAATGGAGCCAGTCAACGAGTTGGACGCCAAAGAACTGAGTGGGGGGAGGGGGTGGGGGTGAGGGGGATGGGGGGGGGGGGGGAGGAGGGGTTGAAAAACGTGAGGAGTTGAGAAATTTGGCCATGAACACACAAGCGACCCAAGGGGGTGGTGCGACGACCATGGCCAGAGGGAAGCATTGCTTGGCGCACAGAGGAGAAATCTCTGCGGCGGACTTGGAGACAATCGACGCAGCTCCAGCTGGTGGCGAGGAGGGGGAGAATGTGGGGCTACGCGGGGACAAAGGAGGGAAGGAGAGGAATGTTGAAGTCGAGAGCCCAGAAAGTTGAGGAAAGAGTTCAATTAGAAAGGGCAGGAGCCCAAGTCATACAAGCAAGAGTGGGCAAATTGTGGTGCATCACAAACTGTACGAAAATATCATAATTGTGCGCTTCACATGCCTGGGATATCTGAAAGAAGGGTGGGAGGTGCAAGCATGCAGAGCGCATGGTTGCCACAAGGTGTTAGGCGCCACTCAACTGCTCCAAGCTCATCCAAGAATGTTTGAATAGGCATGAGCGTGGCGCCCGCTGGATGGGCCGGCCCGGCCCGGTTTTTACTCGGCACGGGCGACCATTTTTTAGACTCGGCCCAACCTTTGGCGGCCCGGGCCGGCCCGCCCAGGCCCCCCTCAGCCCGCCACGGGCCAGGATGTTGCGCCTGGCGGGCCCCAGCCCGCCCGCGGGCCATGGCCGGCCTGATCCCTAAAACCGGGCACGGGCCGAGGAGTTCCCAACATCAACCCAACCTTGGCCCGGCCCGGCCCAGTCCGTGCCCGGCCCAGTCCGTGCCCGGGCGGGCCGACCAGAAACAGGCCGGGCCAGGCCTATGCTCATGCCTACTTTGGAACTAGGATGAGAAGAGCACAAGAGATGCAACGAGAAGAGAGTTGATGCTATGGGCAATCGCAATGCACTCCCGACACCTGATTCCAGTGGACTTCGTACAGAGAGGAGAGCTGATTGAGTGAGGTAAAGCTGTCGGGAATGGAGCCAGTCAACGAGTTGGACGCCAAAGAACTGTGTGTGTTGGGGGGGGGGGAGGGGGGGGAGGGGGGGGTTAGGAAAACGTGAGGAGTTGAGAAGAACACACAAGCGACCCAAGGGGGTGGTGAGAAGAATATGGTGGGAAGCATTGCTTGGCGCACAGAGGAGAACGTTCTGCGGCAGACTTGGAGAAAACGGAAGCAGCTCCAGCCGATGGCAGGAGGGGGAGAAAGGTGGAGCGGATGGAGGAAGAAAAGGGACGGATGGTGGGAGATGGTGGCTGGGAGGATCCTGTGGACACAGGAAAGGTCGGGACAGGAGGGGCATGCAACTGGGTGCCTGCAGGGAAGTCGAATGGGAGGTGGGAGATGTAAAAGGCGTCTCCGGACTCCACACAGCAATGCCAACCACATTGCCAACACCCCCCAAACGAAAGCAGCTAGCAACCTTTTCTACAAAAATGCACCGTTTAAACAAAAAACATGATGCTGTGGGCAATCGCGATGCAATCCTGTCACATGGATCCAGTGAGCTTCGTACAGAATGGAGAGCTGATTGAGTGAGGTGATGCTGTTGGGAATGGAGCCAGTCAACGAATTTAACCCCAAAAATCTGTGTGTAGGGATGGCGAGATGGTGAGGGGGGTTGTTGGGGGGGTTTGAATAACGTGAGGAGTTGAGAAATTTGGGCACGAACACACAAGCGACTCGATGGCAGGAGGGGGATAAAGGTGGGTCTAAGTGGGGATGGATGGGGGAGAAAATGGGATAGGGACGGTGGCTGGGAGGATGGTGGGGTGGACAACGGAAAGGTGGGGAGGGGCATGAAAATGGGTGCACTCAGGGATGGCGAATGGGAGGTGGCAGATGAAAAAGGTGCCTCCTGGCTCCGCACAGCAATGCCAAGAACGTTGCCAACATGCCCCAAACAAAAGCACCTTGCTCCTACAACACAGCTATATTTGAGAAAATGTGTGGGTCCTCAGCAGCCGTTCACTTCACACAGCTTACAGTGTGTCCAAGTTTGTGAGGTTTCCAAAAACATCTGGAATGGGCCCAGTCAGCTGATTGCCTCCCATATATCTGTTCACAGAGGGTGAATAGTGGGCATGAATACTGCTCGATTGATCTCTTAAAGAGTGGGTCATGTGCTTATGTGAAGCTGTGAAATCTGGGATTAATATGGTACTGATTGGTAAGCCCAACAGGCCAGTGAATTCAGAAGTGGAAGGCATGGAAGGTTGCACATTCGGGCGGGTGGAGAGGACGACCCAAGAACATTGCTTGCCAAAACCTCCCAAACAAAGGCAGCTCGCTCCTATTCCTATAGCAGCACTTTGTTTAGACAAATTGTGGTACGCAGCAACCAGCATCCCACGGCTTACAGCACTTTCAAGTTGGGGAGATTTCCAATGCCAGCTGGGATGGGTCCAGTAAGCTGATTGTTCGTCAGGGCTCTGGTCAGAGGGTGGAAAGTGGGCATGCATACTGCCCTGGTAATCTCCCAATAGCAATTTGTCTGTTCATATGAAACAGCTTATTCAGCGAGATAAGTACAAATGACTAGCTGGGTTGAAACCCGCGTGCCAAGTAGTTCAATGGTAGGAAGGTTGGTTGGTAGGAGAATGGGATTGGTTGTCGAGTAGTTCTTCTAGGGAACTCTCAACCAAAGGTAGGAAGCTCGAGGCAATTTTGAGACATTTGGTACGCGGGTTTTAACAGGCCAGGGAAATCCGAAGTGGCAAGTTCAGAAAGGATGCACCGCAAAGGGAGGAAGGTGGTAGCACGTAGTGTATGGACTCGTGAAATCAGTGCAGAGAACGAGGTGATGCTTTCCAAATCAGTGCAGCACGCTTCACTTCTAAATATGCCGCTATATTCAAGCCAACCATGTGCTTCCAGCACCAGCCTATCCCACACTGCTTACAGGTACTGCAATGCAGGGAGGTTTCCAAATCCAGCTGGAATAGATCCGTCAAGCTGATTATATCCCAGGTCTCTGGTCATAGAGGGAGGATAGTGGGAGAGTGAGAGAGCTATGAATGCCTCATACCAGGGCCCCACCTCGTTTACCGTTTTTAGGGCGAGTAATCCTATCTCTGGGGGAGTAAAATTTACTCGTTTTTAGGACAAGTGCTTTGTCCTTGAGAGCAGCTTTTACTCGCCCTCTGTAGGTGAGTACAAACACTCGACAAGTTTACTCGCCTCGTCTTGGGTCGAGTGTTTGTCGACCTTGTTACTCGGGATTCCCGAGGAGAGTAAACAAGGCGAGTAACTACTCGCCTCCACTGCCTGTGTCTACTCCTCTACTGCCCATGCGCCACCCTAAACTGCCCATTCGCCAGCCGAGCTTCCGCACTGCAGATTGAGCGTCGCCGCGCAACCGCTGCCAGCTGCCCATCAACGCCCCTGGCTCAGAATCGATGAGGACGTCATGCTCAAGCCGAGTCGAGCCGGCTCGAGTCGAACTGGGTTCCAAAAAGAAGGGCTCGGCTCGCCACAAACGGCAAGCCGAGCCGAGCCGAGCCGAGCCGGCTTAAACCTCGAGATCGATTCAAGGCAGCCCGAGGCAATGTGATTATTAGTTGCCTCGCCCAATGCTCATGGCCTACAGCCAGGAAAACACAAGCAGGCACCCTGCAGTGCGTTGGCAGCTCGACGATCTCCTGTCCCGCCCCACTGGCTTGATGCCAACGGCCCTTCCGCAACGGCAAATGCACACAGCATGCCGCCGATTAGGCAATCGCAGCTACTCCACGCCAAGAGACGCACCACTCCAGAGCCTGCCGCGATGCTCATCAGCCTCGTTGTATCATGTGGGCTCATGGTCTCATGTGGGCTCATGGTCTCATGTGCGCTTCTTACAGCCATGTCAGTGCAGTGAGTGAGGAGATGCTGTCGGGAATAGCACCAGAAATGTTTGTGGAATCCATTCGACTGTGTGGGGTGTGGGTTGGAAGAAGAGTGGAGGTTAGAATAAAGGTCAAAGTTGTGTATGATGCGAGAGTTCAGGCAATCATGAAGCGATAACCACAGGATGCAGCGTTTGCTGCCACAGAGGGCAACCTTCAGCGAGGACTCAGAGCACATGGCGCAGTCTCAGCAGACAGCAGAGAACGAAGCAAGGGCAATGAAGCAGGCGGCAATGTAGCAAGGGGCCTTTTTGGCGCCAGCATTTGTCGTGCCCATTCCATCCAAGACAGGCAACATGCACTCACATGGCGGTAATCATGCCCGACGGGTCACACGTGAGACCTTGAGCAGCGCTACAGCTGGCTGTCTGGGACCACCCTGGGATCGTCGTCCCCCATGCCTTCTGGCAGTCGCTGAGAAACACGGCTGACAGTTGGGGGCACGAGAGGGGAGGGACGGACCAGTATGCATTGAGTAGATAGAGGCCCACTTGGGATGTATTGAAACCTGCACCTACCGTGTCAAGGCATGTTTATGATTGTTTGTCCAGAACTTGGGCCCTGCTTCGTGGGAGAAACGCACATTGAGATGCGCGGATCGGTATGCTAGCCGCGTGGCACGAGGAGACAGCGGCCGCGGCAAGCCAGAGCCCCGCGGAGAATGACGCGAGCCGACTTTGACGGCGCTGCATCGCGGCCGACTTTGACGCCGGCATTTGTACTCCTAGTGTAGCGTCGCGCAACAACCGCCGGAAGTTGTGGGGCCTTGGTGGAATCGGCTCCGGAGATAGGATGGGTGGGGAGATAGTAGAAGCTGACTTCGGAAGCCCAAGCACTGACAGACAATCGTCGCGCACCGGCGATGCCTGAAAAGAATATTAGTCAGGGGAGGCAGCATCGCAAAAAGTGCAACGTTCACAGATCGTTTTCACCATTCGAGCTCGGGCATAAAGTCGGAAATCGTCCGCCAAGTGTTCGCCAAATGTTTTTTTCTCGTTTCTTTGCACGTAAATGATTCGCGAGTCTTCTGCGGATGGGATGTTATGCGAATGAGTTGTTTTGTGAATGTTACACCTGAATAATAAACATGTTCCCGTGGCTTATATTTGCATAAATGATTGGTTTTTGTACACTTAAACTTCTACAAAGTTTTAAAATTGTGCATAAGTAACTGAAATAGAATAATATACAAAATATGTGCAATTTGCCAAAAAAACTAAATGAATCCAACCCCAACCAACTCAACCCATATCTCACACGCTATTCGAGGTTCGGCGAGACCTGTAACCAGGCTGGGTTACGCAGCTCCAATGGGTTGCGAAACCCAGATACCACGTCCTAACCCTATGCACCGTGAGGAAATTGAACAACCCCCTCGGGCATCAAAAGGGGCCATGCGATTGGTCGAAGCCAAACAACAACAATCGCAAACCCAACCCACAGCCTGCTCCCTCGACAGCAAAAACGACTAAGGGAAAGATGGTAGCAGATCTCGAATTCGGGATCTGTAATTTTCTCGACTTGCCCTCGTTTCCTCCTAGATCCATGCTCATGCGTAGCCATGCTAGAGAGTTGGTAGCGACTTATAAGATGGGATCGAGGCGACACCGACGTCAGGCTAGTGAACGCGGATATCAATTGAGGTTCTTGGCGCGCGTAGCCTAGCCTGGACGAAATCACCAGCGCCTGAAAACAAGGGCAGGAAACAAATAACGAATCCCCCGCTGCTAACGGCCCACCGTTGCGGGCCGCTATAGCTTCCCGCCGCCTTCGATCTCCTCGTACGAAAATGCCACCCGCGGCTTCCCACATCGTGCTATCCCTGTCCTCGCGCTTCCTTGCTTCCCAAATCCCCGCTTCCCGCTTTCGAAAGCACGTCCGCATCTCACCTTCACGTGCTGCAGCATCTCGCTGTCCCTCGCTTCCTTCCACCCGCTTTCACCCGCGTCCCGCTATCGCTTGCTCCCCGAATCCCGCTTTCCCATGCTGCTCGCATTACCTTGCTCCCCGCATTCCAATGCTCCTCGCATTCCCATGCTTCCCTCATTCCCATTTTCCCGGCATTCCCATGTTCCCCGCATTCCCATGTTCCCCGCATTCCCTTGCTCCCCGCATCTCGCTTTCCCATGCTCCCCGCATTCCCTTGCTCCCCGCATCCCGCTTTCCCATGCTCCCCGCATTCCCATGTTCCCTGCATTCCCTTGCTCCCCGCATCCTGCTTTCCCATCCTCCCCGCATTCCCATGTTCCCCGCATTCCCTTGCTTGCTCCCTGCATCCCGCTTTCCCATGCTCGCTGCATTCCCTTGCTCCCCGCATTTCCTTGCTCCCCACATTCCGCATTCCCATGCTCCCCGCATTTCCTTGCTCCTCGCATCCCGCATTCCCATGTTCCCCGCATTCCCTTGCTCCCCGCACCCCGCTTTCCCATGCTCCCCGCATTCCCATGTTCCCCGCATTCCTTGCTCCCCGCACCCCGCTTTCCCATCCTCCCCGCATTCCCATGTTCCCCGCATTCCCTTGCTCCCCGCATCCCGCTTTCCCATGCTCTCTGCATTCCCTTGCTCCCTGCATTTCCTTGCTCCCCACATCCCGCATTCCCATGCTTCCCTCATTTCCTTGCTCCCCGCATCCCGCATTCCCATGCTCCCCGCATTCCCGTGTTCCCCGCATTCCCTTGCTCCCCGCACCCCGCTTTCCCATCCTCCCCGAATTCCCATGTTCCCCGCATTCCCTTGCTCCCCGCATCCCGCTTTCCCATGCTCTCCGCATTCCCATGCTCCCCGCATTCCCGTGCTCCCCGCATTCCCTTGCTCCCCGCACCCCGCTTTCCCATCCTCCCCGCATTCCCGTGTTCCCCGCATTCCCTTGCTTGCTCCCCGCATCCCGCTTTCCCATGCTCTCTGCATTCCCTTGCTCCCCGCATTTCCTTGCTCCCCACATCCCGCATTCCCATGCTCCCCGCATTTCCTTGCTCCTCGCATCCCGCATTCCCATGCTCCCCGCATTCCCGTGTTCCCCGCATTCCCTTGCTCCCCGCATCCCGCTTTCCCATGCTCTCCGCATTCCCTTGCTCCCCGCACCCCGCTTTCCCATCCTCCCCACATTCCCATGTTCCCCGCATTCCCTTGCTTGCTCCCCGCATCCCGCTTTCCCATGCTCTCTGCATTCCCTTGCTCCCCGCATTTCCTTGCTCCCCACATCCCGCATTCCCATGCTCCCCGCATTTCCTTGCTCCTCGCATCCCGCATTCCCATGCTCCCCGCATTCCCGTGTTACCCGCATTCCCTTGCTCCCCGCACCCCGCTTTCCCATGCTCCCCGCATTCCCATGTTCCCCGCATTCCTTGCTCCCCGCACCCTGCTTTCCCATCCTCCCCGCATACCCATGTTCCCCGCATTCCCTTGCTCCCCGCATCCCGCTTTCCCATGCTCTCCGCATTCCCTTGCTCCCCGCTTTCCCATGCTCTCCGCATCCCCTTGCTCTCCGCATCCCCTTGCTCCCCGCATTTCTTTGCTCCCCACATCCCCCATTCCCATGTTCCCCGCATTCCCTTGCTCCCCGCACCACGCTTTCCCATCCTCCCCGCATTCCCTTGCTCCCTGCACCCCGCTTGCCCATGCTCCCCGCATTCCCATGCTCCCCGCATTCTCATGCTCCCCGCATTCCTTGCTCCCCGCATCCCGCTTTCCCTTGTTCCCCGCATTCCATGCTCACCGCTGTCCCATGCCCCCGCTTTCCCATGCTCCCCTCATTCCATGCTCCCCGCATTCCCATGCTCCCCGTGCTCCCCGCATTCACATGCTTCGCGCATTCCCATGCTTCCCACATTCCCTTGCGACCCGCACCCCGCTTGCCCTCGCTAATCCGCTGCTGCCTCTCTCCCCTGTTTCCCGCCACCCGCTTCCCCTAGCTTCCGGCATGCCGCTTTCCCCCGCTTCCTGTTTCTGCCATTCCCCCCTTTTCACATCCCGCTTTCCCCCGGTAGCGACTAGCGCTTCCCGCTTCACCTCGCGGACCGCTTCCCGCTTTCCCTTGCGGGTCGCTTCCCACTTTCCCACGTTGTAACGTGTTACCCGCTTTTTCGCGCGCCGCAATCCCTTGCCTTCTCATTGAATGAAAACAGATAAAGGTTCAAGGCGCAGCAGCAGGGAAGAAAGCGAGGCCGCAGGGATGGGGAAGACAACAGATAGTAGCGAGCGGGAGAGGCGAGAGGGGAGGGAGAGGGGCACGAGAGCAGTGGAGGGGGGAAGGCGTGAGAGCAGGGAGGGAGTGAGGCATGAGAGCAAGGAGGGAGTGAGGCACGAGAGCAGGGAGGGAGTGAGGCATGAGAGCAGGGAGAGAGTGAGGCATGAGAGCAGGCGTGAGTGCAGGGGAGGGGAAGAGGCGTAAGAGTAGGGGAGGGGGAGAGATGGGAGAGCATGGAGGTATGAGGTGCGTGATAGGGGGGGATGTGGGAAGGCGCAAGAGCCATGGAGGGAGCGAGAGGTGAGAGAAGGGAAGGGAAAAAGGGGTACGAGTAGGGGAGTGGGGAAAGGGAGAGTGCAGCCCGGAGGAGATGGGGAGGGGAAGAGGCGTGAGGGCGGGGGAGGAAGAGGCGTGAGGGGCATGGGAGGGGGAGAGGGTGTTAGGGTAGGGGAGGGGGAGTGGCGTGAGTGCAGGAGAGTGGGGAAAGATGGATTGCAGTGAGGGTAGGGGGGTAGGAGTGAGAGCAGAGGAGTGGGAGAGGCGTGAGGGCGTGAGAGGCAGGGACAGCTGGAGGAGATGGGGAGGGAAAGAGGCATGAGGAGAGGGGAGGCAGATACGCATGAGGGCAGGGGAGAGGGAGATGCATGAGGGCAGGGGAGGGGGAGAGGCATGAGGACAGAGGAGGGGGAGTGGCATGAAGCAGGGGAGGGGGAGAGGGCAGTAAGTGTGAGCGGGATCCCGGCAGGACAGGCAGTAAACACTCTATAACTAACCCCTCTCAACCCCCCGCCCCCCCACTAACGTATGCCCCCATCTCTTTCTCCCCCCCCCCCCCCCCCCCCTTCCCCCCCCTCCCCTCCTCCCCGCTCTCTCGCAGCCTACCGGGTGGCACATGATTGCCAGTCAAGCTCACCTTGGGCAACCTCTCCGTTAAAAGCCAGACTTCACCCCAAACCTATCCACTCACTCCCCTGTGCATCTCTCAACAAACCACATTCTGTGGGTGATCTCCGTGCGGCCACGCATTCAGACATTCAGCCGTTATTGGCAAATGCTAACCATGTCTCTTCTCTAGCATCATCTACGACGGCTGCAGAAAATGGAAATTATGTAACCCTACATATGTGAACGACACCTTGTAACTGAGTTGGTCCAGGGTTGTAAAGCCAACTTGAATTTTGAGGTCGCAATTTCTCTCCCTCAAGTTTGTTACATTCTTCCTGCCACATATATATGTGACCTTTTCAGGTTATGAACGGCTTGTCGGTCGTTCTGTAAGAGTACATGAACTTGGCACCAATTTTGGCAACAAGAGTAGCTTTTTATCTTTAGCATAAAGTCATATTAGTCTAGATACATTCAGAAAGTCAAGTTCCCATGGAAAGCGATTTAATCTACTAAACAAATCCAAGACACACACTGAGATATATCGAAAACGTCTTAGCATATATAGTAACAAGTGTTGGCTACAACACCTCCATCCAACCACCAAGAAGGGCGTAGTCCAACGGAATCGGTGCAAAACACGGCTTTATGAAATTTGTGAATACCAAACTGAACCGAATTGAATCGCAAATTACAGCGTGCTATAGAGCGCGCGGATTCTGGGATCCAAAATTTCAGGTCCTATTTGCTTGATATTCGGGTCTGTAGAAACACGCCCCTATTCACAAAATGACGTGCTGACCAATCACACACCCTTTGCCCCCACCCTTCACCTGCAACCGAACCCAACAAAATTTATTCATCCAACTCAGCCCCTGCACCTCGTCCAACCAATCAAAATCTGCCAAGTGGTTCCAGAGCGGCTAATCCAGCTCAACCACCTGCTCGCCCCAACCACCCAGCCCACCACGCTGCACCCCACATGCCAGCACTCCAGCCCACCACACACTTCTGATCCCTTCCTTACTTGCCCCCTTGCGCCCTCTCATGCCTTCCAGCTAGACGTTACTTACAATAATAGCCCTCGGCAGTTCTATCTGCATCAGTTTCAGCTCCCATTCTCGCCTTCGCGCCCCCTAGTGAGCAGCTCCTTCCTCTCCCACAGGCTTCGATTACCATGGTCGTTCTTAGTGTGCCCTATGCTGAGGATCTCGTTTCACGATGGTCTATCGTTTCAAGCAGCTCGTAGGTGACTAGTCTTGTTCACCCATGTCATTCTTATCTGCATGTTCATGAGCTAATGCGCCATTGGGGGGGCGGGAGAGTAAGGAGGGGCGAGGGGGAGGAGGCGGCACGCAGAAGCGGTATCTTCGGGAGGCGAGGCGCCTGGCGGAGTACCTAGATGCGCGCATGGAGGCGGCCACCAGGTGCGCGGACGCCAGCAGATGCGAGCACGGTGGTGAAACATCTCTTCCCTTGTTTCGCTTCTCGCCACTGTCCTTTTCCTCTCTCCTGTACTCGTTCCGTCTATGCCCGTCTCGATCCCCCTTTCGTGCCCTCTCTCCCTTTTCGCTCGTCCCAGCTGCTCTTTCTCCCCCTCGCCCCTGGAGCTGTGCTTGCCATGTGTGTGCTTGCCACGTGTGTGCTTGGCGCAGCAGTGGTGCGGCGCGACTCGTGCAGAGAGGCATGGCTAGTAGTGTGTGTGGGAAGGTGGAGGGGGCAGAGCGGAATGGAGAGCATCCGCTCTCGTGCACTCCCCTTCTCACGCGCATGCCCCATCCATCCGTCCATCGTGTGTGCGCTGCAGGTTGGGCGCAGCAGCAGCAGGCCCGAGGAGCAGTGAAGGGGGGCATGCTGGCGCCATGGGTGGTGCGCTGCCAGACGACGTGAGCGCCATGGCGTATGCGCACGACCTGCCACCCAAGGTGCATACATGTGCCTTGCTATATGCATGGCGGTGTGAAGCCATCCCTGGCAGCCCATCCGTGTGCCCTCTGTTCTGCCTGTTGCGTGCCCATGCCACCCCCTTTTGGCTCTTGCACGCCACGCCTCTCCATGCGACCTACCACTCTCCTTGCCTTTACTCACCTCTTTCTTTCACATGGCTGCATGGAATCACATGGCTGCATGGCATGGCATGGGCGCATGGCACATGGGTGCATGGCATCACATGGGTGCATGGCATCACATGGGTGCATGGCATCACATGGGTGCATGGCGTGGGTGCATGGCATCAGGTGCATCTGTGGCAGCACCACGAGTCTCTCTCCTCGCGCCATCTCTCCTCCTCCCTCGCCTCCCTACACCGTTACTTCGACTACAGGTGAACAGTCATGGCCAGGCGGAGAGGGGGGGATCATACAGGTGCCACGGATGGGTTGCTGGAGTAGAGAGGCCCATGAGAGGGCATTCGCAGGCACGTGCGAGTGTGGGGGGCAGTGGGAAGGGCCTGCTGCATGACAGGGCAAGGAAGTGTGGGGGAGAGTGTGGCGTTCGCACGTTGATACGTGTGATCGTGTGAGTGTGCTGTGCACGCGTGGCCCTCATGGTGAGGCGGCCACGAGGAGTGCAGCCACCACGAGGAGTGCAGCCGCCACAAGGAGTGCAGCCTCCATTCTTTTCTTCCATGTCTTGTGCGCTCTTCCCCGACTCTTGCGCACACCGTCACTCCACCCTCCCGCTTCCGCCCCCTGCCACCCCCTCCTCTCTCCAAGCAGTGCGGGCGTGACAGCGGTGGGTAGTCGCCCGGCGTCGGAGTGGTGGGCGGGGCGATTCCAGGCGGGGCTGCTGGTGGAGGGCGCCATGCACGCACGATACGGGCACACACAGCACGCCATGGGGGTATGAAGGCATTTGTTACTTAACGTATCAATCAAACTAATGATTTGCATGTGTCCTCACGATGCTTGTCTTTATCGCAGCTAGCTATGTAACTCTGTCCAACATCGAGATAATTCCCCATGTAAGTCCAATTGTAAGTCTCGCTGGTCATTTGATCGTCGGACTAATTTCACAACAATGTCTCGTATGACGTGCAGAAATTTGTAGCCTACCACGAGCTATTTCCTCCGGTAAGCTGGCTCTTGTAATTGCTATCGTACGGAATATAACTAATTTGATTACAATGTTTGAACCTAATGTGCAGGACTCAATATCCAGCGTCGCGCTACTTCGTTGTTGTAAGCATTGTCCTTATTGTTGGTGATTTCGACCTTGGATTAATTTCGAGATAACAATTTCTGAACGTAACGTGCAGGAATTCGAATCCTGTTTCAAGAATTGCTGCTCCTGGTGTGCCGCCGCTCAGTTTCTCTTTGTGTTAGTGCGGGACCCACATAGAGGTGCTGGTAGGCAAGGGCGGTTGGGCCATAGTGGTTGTGTACTGTGGTGTAGTTGTTTTTTTTAATATATCAAATAATTTGCTTGTTGCATTATAAGTAAATCCAAACGAGGCATGCCCTAATTGTACTGAACCATGCCCAAAAGGGTACTGCAGCCTGCAAAAACGGATCCATGAAAAACACCACCAAACGTTTGCAACAAATCATGCTGAATACTAAAAATGGTGAGCATAAACTTCTCTATGCATTTACATGTTTACTGCAAAAGTTGTAGAAAGAACACCGCCATGCATTTGTAAACGAACCACGGAGATTACCGAAAAGACACCTCTAAGCATTCGCTGTCGTGAACCAAAAAGTGTTTCGGGAAATGTTGCCCAAGCATTCGCCAAGTGTTCTGATCTTAGTCCGCCATGAATTTTCACCCACATGTTCGCAAAACGTTTGCAAAGCATTCGCTCGAATGCTACGCAATCGTTTTGCGAGCACACCTTTTTTGCGATGAGGGAAGGGATGGGTCTGACTCGCAGGGAAGCTCTGAAGCTCAGAGGAGTCCTCACACGAGCTGATTCTAGCGGCTAGAATTCACCTCAACCGGTTCGGCCTGGTGCGCGGTGATCCAAAACGGTGCATTGCGAGAACCGTTCCCGACCATGCTGAACCCTGGAAATCGGTCTGCATCCGAACAAGGGGGACAGGGCGATTAGGCATGTTCGAAATGCACCCCGGACTCCGCGGTGATCCCCTGCTACGACCATGGCTAGCCAACAACCCAGCGTGTCGTCCTTGGTCGACCATGGCTGGCCAGTCACGCAAGACCGCCGAGGACTGCTGCAGTCTTCTGACAGCGGCTGTAGTGCTGCTTGGTGTGGTGTGTCCGGGCAAGAAAATGATACAATTGGGGCGGGGGAAGACCTAGCCAGACGGCGGTAGGCTGAGAGAGATTTGGTGAAATCTCCTGGCGGGTGGGTTGAGAAAATAACCGTAGCGGATTCGTTTCTGCAGGTGTAGTGGTTGGATGCACCTCACTTCGTGTCGTCGGCTGTAAGGACGTGGAACAGGCATGTCCAGGCGAATGTCGGTTCAACCAGAATCATTGGCGAAACACTTGGCGCCTGAAACAAAGAAGCAGTAACCACGCGCTGCGTGAAAGGAGTTTGACGCTGTCCTCCCGATCGCGCCTTTGAAAATAATCCCTCAAATCATGAAGTCGATCCGTGATGATTTCGCCCAACCTTTCTCTCCCTCCACTTCCATGGGCTGCAATGCTGCACATTCATAGCACAAAATGTATACAAAATGTAGAACCAACTCAACCATTACAAATTTCTTATATTGTAGCTAGACTTTAATTATAGTGTTGGAAACAATTGTCTGTACGTTCTGTATTAATTAGGTTTTCGAGGATTCAAGAAAACTCTACATTAAGCCTTAATTTTTATTGGCGGTACACTTTGGGAGGGGCACATGGATGTGTTCACAATACTAAAATCCATCATGGTACATTGGATCAGACTCATGCTCCAAAAGATATACAAAGAGCATATTCGGACAAATAGTTCCAAGGACAGAGAGCAAACTTCATAACCGTATTTCTCGTACCTCTTCCACCGACCCTGTAGAAGTGAACCACGTGTTTAGGGTGGCCAGGATCTAGAGTTGGTGGAACTACGAGTACAAAGTCAGCGGAAGACTTTACACATTGTATTGGAAATGTCCGAAATGACAAGGATAATAATAATGAGTAATACTGGCATTTCATAGTCTAGGAAGTACCTATTCAAAATGTACCTGTTCGTAGTGTATCGCGACTATTCGCGTGACATGACTAGTGACTGTTCGTGTGACTGAGAGTGCATGACCCTTCGAGTGACTATACACATGAACCTACTGCTCACGCATTGACTCGCTATTGCTGAAGTCATCACGCACGTCCTTCCATACGAGGTATCGCGCTACTAGTACAGTCTAAGTGTTATGTCAGGAATGCATAAGTAAACTCTGTCGAGTATACTTCAAACACTCCCCTTCATTCCTGGGTGTATACCTCTGGGTAAGTATCGCCGCGTTTGCATGTTCCAACCACGTTGGAGTAGTACTGAAACTTGCCGCGTGGGAGTTTATTCGTCAGAAAATCGGCTGCCATTTCTTCTATGAGGCAGTATCTCATGATGACCTTCCCTTTGTCGATTTCGTCCTTGACGAAGAAATAATAGAGGGCGATGTGTTTTGTCCTGTTAACGAAGCCGGGCTTGTTTGCAATCTTGATTGCGCCCTGGTTGTCGTAGAGTAACTTGAAGTTACGGATCGTTGCGATTTTTTCCTCTTGAAGTAACTCTTGAAGATAGAGTCCTTCGCGAATTGCAGAGCTTGCTGCGACGAATTCTGCTTCGGCTGACGAAAGTGCGATGACTTCCTGTTTCGTTGAGTTCCAAGAAATGACACCATCTGGTTCAAGAAGGAAAATTAACCATGTACGCGAACGCCTGTTGTCGGGGTCAGCAGCATAATCCGCATCAACGTATCCAGTGAGTCGAAATTTTGCTGTAGATGTTCTCGTGTAGCCGATGCCGATCGTAGGAGTAGAAATGAAATATTGGAGGGCTCGACGAAGATCGGCCATATTCTCCCCTTCAGGTCGGCGCAGGTACTGTGCGAGCTGACTCGTGATGTAGGCAATATCTGGGCGGCATATAACGGCTGCAAATAGAAGACACCCGAGCTGCTACTGGTAAAGCTGATGCTCAGAGGCGGTAAGTGGGATACTACCAGGTATGTGATCGGCCGAAATATGACGAAATGGAATGGTGAGGCTGATGGGTGCTATGGCAATTTTTTTCGCAAGTGTTTCTGCGTACTTGCTTGCAGAAAGGTAGATGGCCACGGGGCCGCAGTCGACGTTTAACCCAAGAAACTGGGTAATATTTGGAGAAAAAAATCACTTCAAGAATCGTTTGGATTCTTTTCTCCATGTGTGCTAGAAGACTGTTGCACGAGCCGGTGTATAGTAACTCGTCGACGTAGGCGACTAGGAGAATGTAATTCCCCCCAAAATCGAGTCTGTACATTCCAGGATCGTGGGGCAGCTGCACGAAGTCGAGTGAAATCAGCACTTTGTGAAGAAGCTGCTGCCACATGCGAGGAGCCTGTTTGATGTCGTAGAGTGACTTAAGTAATTTGCAGATGTGAAGTCTGTCACTGTAAGTGTGAAGGATTTCGACAAAAATTCTCTATCTGCATCGACGTCTGTGTATAAAAATGCATTTTTAACGTCTAGTTGGCGAAGTAGAAGGTGGCGGTTGGTAGCAATGGCGAGAAGAATTCGAACTGAGGTATGACAGCTGACCGGAGCAAAAGTCTGGTCATAATCGATGCCGTGGGTTTGTTCGAAACCTCAAACCACCCATCTCCTCTTCAATCAGTCTGGTTCGCCTGCTGCATTTGTCTTTATGCGAAAGACCCATTTGCCCGAAAGAATTTTCTTGCCGCGTGCTGCTTTGCGTGGAACGAATTTCCACATTTTCTGCTTCTCGAGAGCTGCTACCTCTGCATCCATAGCTGCTCGCCACTTGTCAGCATCAGAGCCGGAGAGGGCCTGCTTAACTGTTTTCGGATCGATCCCGGTTGTTTGGTTCTGAACTACGACAGCTAGTCCTAGGATCTGAAGAGCTGATTGGTCACCACGAGGATGAGGTTGGCAAACTTCGACGACATCATCATCGTCAATGTCGGATGGCAGATGGCGGACACTATCATGTGATGCTGTGTCAGATTTCTATCGGCGTAGGTGCTCCTCATAATTATAGGCAGCCTGTGTCGTGGCAGGACGCAACGGATCCGAGAGAGGAATGAAGCGCGGTATTTTGGTGTTGTTGGCACGTGTCGAAGGAATGTATGAGTCGAACTATGGTTCGGCTGCTAACGTAGATGACTGTGGAACTGTAGAAGGTCCTGCTGCTTCGCTGTCGGGCGGATAATATTCTTCGGCTGCATCTACTTCGTCTTGAGGAGTGGCGAAACTCCGTTCGGCACTGTAGCGATTAGGATCCCGCTGCTGGGGTTCCTTGTCGCGTTCGAAGTCATCGAGAAAAAGTTTCTCGTAGAAGATGCAGTCTCGAACATACAAAACCTTTCGAGTTTCGTAATCCATAATTATCCAGGACTAGGAATCCTTGGGTACACCGAGGTGTATTCCCCATCGAGCCCGTTCTGTAAACTTGCCCAAAGTTGCGCTCGGAGGTCTGTATTCGACCATGCAGCCCCAAACTCGTAGTAGTCATGTGTCGGCGGGGTGTTTTGTCCACATGACGTGTGGCGAGCTGAACTGATGAAGGGCTGTTGAAGACAAGCAGTCGTGTAGGCGGACAGCTTGCGCCATTGCAAACGGCCAAAAGTCAGCTGTCAAATAGGACTGTTGCAGCACCACATGCATCTTCTCTTGCAGTGTTCTGTTAGTTCTCTCAGCTACCCCATTCTGCTGATGGGTGTAAGGCACAGTCTTGCGCATGAGTATCCCTTTCCGCACCAGGAATTCATCAAAATGCTCGCTAGTGTACTTGCCCGCGTTGTCTATCTGGATCTCTTTCAGCTTGATGTCGATCTGCCGCTCCGCGATTTTCAGCCATAGTTTGAAGGCGTCGAGAGCTTCAGACTTTAGAGAGATATTCGTGTGCTAGACATATCGAGTAGCACCGTGGATGAAGGTAATGATTTAGCGGTAGTCGTTGCCGCTGATATCCTCTGCTTCCTGCGGCATGAAGAGTATGTCGCTAAAAACGACATCCATAGGTGAGTCCTTAGTAGCACTTGGAAAGTGCGACGGGAACGGAGCGTGACTTAGGTGAGCTCCGGGGCAGATAATGCAGGGTAGTTGATGACTGCTAGGTCGAAGCTCTTGGCCGTTGGTTAAAAGAAGAGCGTCCTTGTCGAAAACCGAGGCTTTAATGGAGTTGTTGAGAGCTTCTTGCGAGGTATGACCTGTTGGTGCAACCCTTTGGCTTGCACTCGGCTTGTCGTCCTTGTTTGTGTGTGTGCATGCATGGCATGGAATGACTTGTGATTCTATGTCATTGCTATCTAGTGCTTGTGTGTGTGTTTGAATGGTGTCTCACAATGTGGTGTGTGTTGGTCAAGACATTAGTGAGTTTTTACAACTCGCATGTCAAGTCGTCATTTGCGTGTCGCATGTGTTTTTCTATTTTGTCGAGTGTGAAGTGTCCATCACGTTGCAGGTGTGTGCAGCAAGCCCCCATCAACACAAGAAGAATTTATCTTGCAGAACCAAGACCAAGAGCTCAAGATTTTAAGCCCAAGGGACACGGATAAATATTAAATAGTGAAAATAGTAACGCTACTTTGTGTAGTGTTACATTTCACTTGGTGTAGCCCCTTGGAGGGTTTGTTTTGAGACTCTTCGTGATTGGGGACTCTGTGGTGGTGTACCACCAACCTGGACCTCGGCTCTTGGGGTATGTAGAGGCTGGGAACCATCTCCCTCTCGAATTCTTCTTCCTAAGTTTTTGTACTCCTAAGCCTATAGTGGCTGCTGTACCTCCTGCCAGTCAAACCGCCATAGCGTCGTCAAATCTTCATGGAATTTTATGATTCAACTTGCTGCTGATAGGCGACAGCAACGCGCTCCAGATCCAAGTTACAGATCACCGTTTGAGGCCCACATCAGATCGGCATCAATATTTGAAGCTGGCTGACGGAATTCTGATTGTGCACATTTTCTCTCATTTTAGGCACATCAGAGCCTATTGTGATTATAACAAGTGGTATCAGAGCCCCTTGGAGCCATCTCAACCATGCCTAGACTTGAGGAAGGGGGTGGCAGAGGTGCTGGAGGCAGAGAAGACGCCCAAGCACAAGGTCAACACCAAGATCCACCTGTTGCTCCGGTGCAACCTAGCCTTGGACCCTCTAGGGATGAGCCTAGAGTGTTTGGCCTTGACAAGTTCAACGGTGACAACTTTGGTGAGTGGTCCTTCAAGATGGAGAACATCTTTGACCACTATGATCTGCTGGAGGTGATGGAAGGAACGGAGAAGCGCCCAAAGAACGACCCGGAGAAGAGCCCGTGGGTGCGGAAGAGCGCACAAGGCTACCTTCTACTTGGGCAAGCGTTGGGGAGCAGCCAAATCCGTCACATCAAGCCTTTTCAGCGTGAACCGGCAAAGGGACCAAAGGCATGGGCTGCTCTCAAGGGTGTACACGCTCCTGCAACAGCGGCGGTGGCTGTGGTTTTGGAGCGGCAAATGGCGGCACTTCGAATTGACGAAGGCGAACCGGTGGAGGAAGGAGTCCAAAAATTCTTCGACTTGTTGACACGGCTTGAAGGAGCTGACCTGAACTACAGTGACCTTCAAAAGAAGACCAAGCTGCTGGCTTTACTTCTCGACTCATGGTTCTCGCTCATCATCAACCTAAATCGAGATCTGCCCCGCCTCTCGCTCAAGAACGGGAAATCTTACAAGAAGATTTCCGCCGTCGTGAATTGGCGGGTACCGATGGTGCCGGAGTTGCAAGCATGGGCCGTGGGCACGGCCGTGGAAGGGGCAGAGGGCGAGGAGGAAGATTTGGCAGTAGTAACTTCAATGGAGGCCGTGGTAATGGAGGATATGGTAGCAACAACAACAACAATGGCTACGGGCGTGGGCGCGGTCGGTTTGATGGCGAATGCCATTTTTGCCACAAGACCGGCCACATGTGGAGAGATTGCTTCAGATTGCCTGATGGATGGACCCCTTCTCAAGGCCAAGAGGGCAGAGGAGCAAGGGGAGGAAGAGGCAGAGGTCGTGGAGGCCGTGGTGGTCGTGGAAGCGAAGCGGCAAGCATGAAAGGTGGAGACTACGAGGCGGGCCCGAGTGAAGATCGATACCCGGGCCAATTCTTCTTTGTCTCCACGCAAGCGGCAGCTGCAGCAGGAGGTGTGGAAGGCTTTGAGGAGCCAGCTACTGTGGGAAAGGTCACCCTTCACTCTCTGGACTTTTGGGTGATCGATAGCAGCGCCACCTACAGCATGACACCTCGTGCGGACTTGCTTACTGAACTTGAACCGTCGCCGGTCAAGCATGTCACATCGGCTTTGGGGCAGCGAGCAGAGGTGAAAGGCATGGGCAAGGCCATGTTCAAGGGTGCTGATGGGAAGATGGTGGGCCTCAAGAACGTGCTTTGGGTGCCCAACCTAGCAGCCAACCTGATTTATGTGCGGCGTTTGCAAAAGGCCGGCATGGACACATCGTCGAAGGGATCCAAAACGTATACCGCAAGGCTTGGTGAGCGGAAGCTTTGGTACCTTCATGAGGACAGGGACATCTACAATGAGATGTGGCAAATTCCAGTGGTCCCCATGCCTAAGGAGAGGCAAGTGGCAGCAAGCCTCAGCACCAAGAGTGAAGCGGTTGGTGGTGGTGATCACGGAAAGCAGAGTGACACCAAGAGTGACTCGAAGGAGTGCAATCTTGGAGAGACCAGCAAGGCGTGTGAAACCAAGGAGAGTGGTGAAGCAGCCAAGCGTGGTGGAAATGATGAGGAGAAGCAAAAGATCAGCAAAGCAGCAGCGGCGAAGGAGAAAGGAGAGAGCTTGTGTGGCACAATTGCGAGTGCCGCTTTCTCCAACCCGACTTCCGCTACGGGAGAGTGTGATTGGTTGACCTTGCATCGGCGAATGGGGCATGTGGCATTGCCCATTTTGCAGCAAATAGTTAAGCAAGAGATGGTCAGTGGGATACGTGTCAAGGGGGAGCCGAATGAGGTGCTTGGCTGTCCAACATGCATGCAAGCCAAGTTCACCCGCTACCCGTTCCATAGCTCGGAGGCAACGGCGAAGGCACCACTTGATGAGGTGGTGATGGATGTGGTGGGCCCCTTGAAGCTTGGAGCTGCTGGAGCAGAGTACTTCCTCACCATTGTGGACGTCTACACTCGCATGACTTGGGTGTATGTGCTGCCCAAGAAGAGTGACGTAGCTGAAACGGTGAAGACCGATTGGTTGCTGATGGTGGAGCGGCAACAAGACCGGCTTGTGAAGGCGATTCGCACTGACCGTGGGGGAGAGTTCCTGAGCAAGTTTTTCTCAACTTGGCTGAAGAAGCAAGGCATAAGGCACTCTCTTACCATGCCCTACTCTCCTGCAATGAACGGCATCGCCGAGCGTGCGAATCGGACACTCACGGAGACGGCTCGGGGACTTCTCATTGAAGCCGGTCTACCCAATTACTTTTGGCCGGATGCGGTGCGGCATGCTTGTGTGGCCAAGAACAGAGCCTTGAATCACGTGGGAAAAGACAAATAGGTGCCCTATGTGGAGTGGGTTGGAAGGAAGCCGAAGGCGGATATGCTTCGGGTGTTCGGGTGCATGTGCATGGCACTTGTGCCTAAGAAACTTCGGTACAATAAGCTTGATGCCAAGGCAACATGGGCCGTGCACCTGGGCATGGCTCAAAACAGCAAGGGATGGCTTCTTTGGGACCCATTTACCAATAAGTTCTTGGTGAGCAGAGATTGCAAGTTCATGGAGAACTTACCGTACAAGGAGTGGAAGGCGGAGAACCAAGCGAAGATTGGTGTGCGGCTTGGAGAGGTGAAGAGTACCGGATTGGAGCATGTGGAGCTGCCCTTGGAGCTGAGTAGCAGCAGCACTATCACAAGGCAATCTCCTCAAATGAATGGGGGAGAAGAGGAGGAGGAGGTGCAGCAAGGTGATGAGCGTGCAACGTCACTTCCGCCTCGTGCTACAAGTGCTCGCGGGAACCGACCGGACTTACCGCAAAGCCATGAGAGCATTCAAGTCCCTGCAGCAGAGGAGGAAGGAAGGGGGAGAAGGAGGACTCAGCCCCCCAATAGGTTGAGCTATGAATGGCTTGGAGGACCAGCCAACTCAACCTTGACCGGTTCGGCTCTCATGCTAGGGGATGATGCGGAAGATGAAAGCGAGGAGTGCGCTTTTGCCTTCTTCTCTCCGGTGGAGATACCGGGGGAGCCTACAAATCCCAAGGAGGCTTGGAAGGGCCCCAATGGGAAGGAGTGGAAGAAGGCCTCAGATGAAGAGATGGGGAGCATCATCGAGAACGACTCGTTTGACTTGGTGAACCTACCTCCGGGGCGTAAGGCGATCTCTTCCAAGTGGCTCTTCAAGCGCAAGACTAACGCCGACGGCAACATTGAGCGCTACAAGAGCAGACTTGTAGCCAAGGGGTACCAGCAGCAGGAGAAGAAGGACTACAATGAAGTATATGCTCCTGTGGTGAAGGGTACAACCCTTCGAACCCTCTTCGTCGCGGCGGCCATCAAAGGATGGGTGGTGAAGCAAATGGATATCGTAACGGCCTTCCTCAACGGAGTTTTGGAGGAAGAGACCTACATGGAGCAGCCAAAGGGGTACAATGATGGGAGTGGCAGAGTGTGGAAGCTGAAGAAAGCACTATATGGCCTCAAGCAAGCCCCTAGGCAATGGTACATCAAGCTGCGGGAAGTCTTGGAGGCGATCGGCTTCACTCCCTCAACGGCCGATCAATCCTTGTTCATGCTTGGCGAGGGGGAGCAGAGGAGCTTCATGGTGGTTTATGTGGATGACATCCTCATATTCTCACCCTCCTCTGACCTTGTGAAGGAGGTGATGCTGAAGCTTCAAGACAAGTTCAAGTGCAAGACCCTTGGTGATGTCAACTACTACCTTGGGCTTCACATTGAGCGAGATGTGGAGAAGCGGTGGATGCGAGTGCATCAAAAGAAGTACTTGGAGGACTTGGCTGCAAACTTTGGGAAAAGTGAAGGTCATGTGGATACTCCTCTACCCTCAAGGTTCAAGTGTGTGAAGGGACCAGCGGAGGAAAGTGTTGGTGAAGAGGAGAGGCGTTGTTTTCACTCCTTGGTGGGCAGCCTCATGTATGCGGCTGTCCACACAAGGCCGGATACAGCCTTTGCTACCGGGCAGCTGGCTAGGGTTGTCCTATGCCCTAATGAAGAGCAGGTATTAGCTGGAGAGAGAGTGGCCAAGTATCTTGGCCAAACAGCAACTGTTGGACTGCAATACTCCGCGGCGGCACAAAGGCGTCAAAAGGGTGCGGATGGAGTCGAACCCGGGAGGCTCTTTCTCACCGCTTTCTCTGATGCATTTTGGGCATCAGAACCAGAGGATATGACAAGTGTGGGAGGCTTCATCTGCTGTGTTGGTGGAGGCCCAACAGCTTGGGAGAGCAAGAAGCAAGTGGACCAAGCATTGAGCTCGGTGGAGTCCGAGTACATGGCACTCTTCCGTGCCATGAGAGAGGTTGTGTGGCAGCGGCGTTTGCTAGCGGAATTGGGGGAGGAGCAGCTAGGACCTACCCCACTCTATTGTGATAGCCAGGGTGCTATTGCATTGGCTAAAAACCCCGTTCTTCATGGCCTTACCAAGCACATGAAAGTGAAGTGGCATTGGGTGAGGAGCATGGTAACCGCGGGTGAAGTGGAGTTGCACTACGTGAAGACGACGGCGCAGCCTGCTGATATGATGACCAAAAGGCTGGTTGAGCACCAGCATTGGAAGTGTTGCAAGCTTGCTGGGATGGCTCTGAACTAAGGGGAGCAGATTCTAAGGCCAACAATCCGAGGGGGAGTTTGTTGGTGCAACCCTTTGGCTTGCTCTCGGCTTGTCGTCCTTGTTTGTGTGTGTGCATGCATGGCATGGAATGACTTGTGAGTCGATGTCATTGCTATCTAGTGCTTGTGTGTGTGTTTGAATGGTGTCTCACAATGTGGTGTGTGTCGGTCAAGACATTAGTGAGTTTTTACAACTCGCATGTCAAGTCGTCGTTTGCGTGTCGAATGTGTTTTTCTATTTTGTCGAGTGTGAAGTGTCCATCGCGTTGCAGGTGTGTGCAGCAAGCCCCCATCAACTCAAGAAGAACTTATCTTGCAGAAACAAGACCAAGAGCTCAAGATTTTAAGCCCAAGGGACACGGATAAATATTAAATAGTGAAAATAGTAACGCTGCTTCGTGTAGTGTTACATCTCACTTGGTGTAGCCCCTTGGAGGGTTTGTTTTGAGACTCTTCGTGATTGGGGACTCTGTGGTGGTGTACCACCAACCTGGACCTCGGCTCTTGGGGTATATAGAGGCTGGGAACCATCTCCCTCTCGAATTCTTCTTCCTAAGTTTTTGTACTCCTAAGACTATAGTGGCTGCTGTACCTCCTGCCAGTCAAACCGCCATAGCGTCGTCAAATCTTCATGGAATTTTATGATTCAACTTGCTGCTGATAGGCGACAGCAACGCGCTCCAGATCCAAGTTACAGATCACCGTTTGAGGCCCACATCAGATCGGCATCAATATTTGAAGCTGGCTGACGGAATTCTGATTGTGCACATTTTCTCTCATTTTAGGCACATCTGAGCCTATTGTGATTATAACATGACCTAGCCGCTTGTCCCAGATTTCTGCTGTAGTTCTCTGTCCCTTTGAGCACAGGTACAAGTCAGAGTGAAGGAGGAATGCCGACGAGAGATAAATCGTTGGCGGAGAGTTGACGCAGCGGCCGGTGTCGAAGAGCTCGATGAATCTGGCTTCTTCTGCAATTTCAACCCAAGGTATGCCGAGGTGTTGATGACGCACCCAAGCATCAGGTACGATTAACTCTTTCTTGCCCCATGTGCTTTCAAACCCCATAGGTTCTTCGACTGTGGCAGATGTCGGTTCTTGATTGTCGTAACCCCAATTTCCATCTCCAGATGCCCATGTACTTTGTACTGTTTCTGCTGCTGCTAATGCTGCTACTATTTGCTCTGCTGCAGGTTCGTCGAGCGAGTTGGTGCGAGAAGGCTGAGGCTTGACGCAGAAGAAATTGAGGCCATGATGGTCTTGGCGTTGAAGATGTTCGTGAGGTGTCGTTTCCCAGTGATGGTGCCGAGGAGCAAGTGAGACGTTCTTCTCACTATCGCCAGATGCTTTCACAGGTGAAAATCGTAGAACTAAAACGCTGTCTTTTTTTTTTCTGCGATGCTGAAAAAAATGCTTTTGTCTTCCTTCTTGTCGCCTAGGTACAACTCCGTGAGCATCGTATTAGCGGTGCTGACGAAGCATATGCCACTTTCCATCAGGTGCGCTTGTGATACTAAGTTGAAGCCGAGTCCCGTGGCGACGAGGACCTTATTAAGAAGTGAAACTTCGGTGTCGTCGGACTCGAATATCACATCTCCAATTCTGATTGTTTTAATGACCTGATTGCTGGCAACTGTGATGTTGTATTTCTCTCCTTGTGGCAGGTCTCTCCAGTTGAGGAGATAGAGACTTGAAGATACCATGTGGTGACCGTAGCAGCTGTCAAGAAACCAAGTGTTAACATGCTCGGGATACGTACGCTTGGCAATGTGGGCGTACGGCTGCACATTGAACCGTCGAGGAAACCTGTTCGGCTGTTCTGGGTTTTCTTTATTTACGATTGCTGGTTCTGGAGTTTCTGAACGAGGACGAAGACGTGGAGGTAGATTGGCTGCTACTTCTTCCATGTCACTGCCGCTGTCCTCATTGTCTCGTCGGCTCCAGTAGCCTATACCACTAGACCAGTGTGGTCCAATCATGCAATTGATGATTGCCTTGCCTTTTGCAGGTTGAGTTGAAGAAGCTGAAGGCGGCGAGATAGTCTTGACAGGGGCGGCTTCACCCGACTTCTCGCGATTCCTGTTCTTCAGTTTCTGACACTCTTCAATATTATGACCTACTCGCTTGCAGAACTTGCAGAAGCCCTGTCCTCCTTTTCTTGTCTGCTCCCATTGATTTGATGCACCTCTTGTCTGCTCCTCTTGACTTGGTCCACCTGTATAGAAGCTTAACCCACTCTTGGCTTTGCCTCCTTTCGCGTTGTACAGGTCCAAGTCTTGCTGCTTTGCCATCAGAGCAGTGCAAAGGTAAGTTTCTGAGATGTTCCCTTGGGAACGAAGAAGGGACTTGCACTGCCTCCATTCGGTTCCAAGTCCAGCTTGAAGAATAGAGACGAAGAGCTCATTGCTGAGATTTCCTCCGCACTTGCCAGCTGGTCCCGAAGATTTCTACACCTATTGATGTAGCTGCCGGCTTTTTCTCCCGGAAGCATTTGCATTCATGTAAGTTGACTTAACAGCTTGCTCTGTGAAACGGAATCTTGTGCTTGATATAACCTTCGCAGGTAATCCCAGGCGTAGAAGGCTTGAGCAAGTGAAGGTTTGAAGCACCAAACTCCCAGCTGCTCTTTAGGTGAGAGATTCTGCACCAGTAGTGTATAGGCCATAAGCGAATACTTGCAATAACGCGCCTGTTCTTCGGTTCTTCCTGTCTCTGGGTAAGGGATTGAACCGTCGAAATATTCCCAGATACCATAAGATTGCGTGAGGAGTTCGAACTTGAATCCCCAAGTATAGAAGTTGCGACCATCAAAGTAAGTTGAGGTCTTCAGCTTGGAGATAGTTAGAAAATCCGCTTGATTTACGACAACTTCTGCAGCAAATGGTCTTTCTTCTGCCATTTGATGTGGTTGCTGCTATGGTTGTTGTTGTTGTTGTTGTGGTTAAGAAGGTAGGCAAAAGACCCAGCACATTCATCTCCAGGGGTTGAAGGCCCAGCGGCAACAGCATCTCTTGCATAACTAGAGTTATCAAGGCTCATAGAAGCTGTAGGATGCACTGGAGCTTGTTATTGTTGCCGCGTAGACTGATCAGCCATCAAGGAAGTGAAGTCAGATAGATTGTCAGTAGAAAGACCAAAAGTAGGAGAATTCGTAGCTGAATTTCTTGTCTTAGTAGCTGACATAATTATAAATCTATGACTTAAGCTTAAGGGCAAAATTAAAATCAGCTTGTATCGGTTTCTGTAACTCCATTAGCTCAGAATACCGTGTAGATGTTAACCATGTGTTTATGGTGGCCAGGATCTAGAGTTGGTGGAACCACGAGTACAAAGTCAACGGAAGACTTTACACCTTGTATTGGAAATCTCTGAAATGACAAGGATGATATAATGAGTAATACATTCAATTATCGTCTAGGAAGTACCTATTCAAAATGTACCTGCTCCTAGTATATCACGACTATTCAGGTGACATGACTAGTGACTGTTTGTGTAACTAAGAGTGGCGTGACCCTTCGGGTGACTATACGCGTGAACCTACTGTTCACACGTTGACTCGCTACTGCTAAAGTCATCACGCGCATCCTTCCATATGAGGTATCGCACTAGTAGTACAGTCTAAGTGTTATATCTGGAATGTATAAGTATACTTTGTTGAGTATACTTCAACAGATCCTTGGCCTTGATCACCACCCGAACACTCCTATGTATGTTGCCTACGAGGTTAGTGCAAACCTCCGCCACCCATTTCTGCGGCGCTTGCACCCTCAGCCCGGTGTCTCCTCCGCCGCCGCAGCAGCAGCACTCGTCGCTGCAGCCGCCGCCGAAGTAGCAGTCACCGCCGCCGCAGCAGCCGCCGCACCAGTAGGGGTCAGTGGGCGTTGGGGGAGTTGGCGCTGGGAGTGCTGTCTCTGAGGAGGGTTCTGGTTTTGGGGGTGCTAGTCCTGGGGGTTCTAGTCCTAGGGGTGCTGTTGTGGTGAGTCCTAGAGGTAGAAGTGGTGCGGCTGGTGGTTCTGGTGCGGGCGTGGAGGAGTAGCAGCAGCAGCAGCCGCAAAAGCAACAGCAGCAGTAGTAGTAGTCGCCGCCAGTCTCCACCCTTCGCCTCCTCGGTCTTCCCTCCCCCGACCGACCGCCCACGCCTACCCTAGCGCCGCCTCTT